CTCGCGGACGAGCGGGAATTAAGCTTGGGGATGCTTGATACGTCTCCAGTGTATCTATAATTTATGATTGTTCCATCCTATTATATTATCTGTTTTGGATGTTTAATGGGCTTTAATATGCTCTTTTATATTATTTTTCGGACTAACCTATTAACCGGAGTCCCAGTGCCAGTTTCTGTTTTTTTGCCTATTTTAGTGTTTTGCAGAAAAGGAATATCAAACGGAGTCCAAACGGAATGGAACCTTCGCGAGGATTTTTCTTGGACCGAAAGCAATCCAGAAGACTTGGAGTTGAAGTCTGGGACTCTACGAGGAGGCCACGAGGCAGGAGGGCGTGCCCAGGGGATAGGCGTGCCCCCACCCTCGTGGGCCCCTCATAGCTCCACCGACGTGCTTCTTTCGCCTATATATACTCTTATACCCTAGAAACATCAGGGGGAGCCATGAAACCACTTTTCCACCGCCGCAACCTTCTATACCGGTGAGATCCCATCTTGGGGCCTTTTCCGGCGATCTGCCGGAGGGGGAATCGATCATGGAGGGTTTCTACATCAACACCATTGCCTCTCCAATGAAGCATGAGTAGTTTATCACAGACCTTCGGGTCCATAGTTATTAGCTAGATGGCTTGTTCTCTCTCTTTGATTCTCAATACAAAGTTCTCCTCGATGTTCTTGGAGATCTATTTGATGTAATACTCTTTTGCGGTGTGTTTGCCGAAATTCGATGAATTATGGATTTATGAACTTGATTATCTATGAATATTATTTGATTCTTCTCTGAATTCTTATATGCATGATTTGATATCTTTGCAAGTCTCTTCGAATTATCGGTTTAGTTTGGCCTACTAGATTGATCTTTCTTGCAATTGGAGAAGTGCTTAGCTTTGGGTTCAATCTTGAAGTGTCCTTTCCCAATGACAGTAGGGGCAGCAAGGCACGTATTGTATTGTTGCCATCGAGGATAAAAAGATGGGCTTTATATCATATTTTTTGAGTTTATCCCTCTACATCATGTCATCTTGCTTAATGCGTTACTCCGTTCTGATGAACTTAATACTCTAGATGCATGCTGGATAGCGGTCAATGTGTGGAGTAATAGTAGTAGATGCAGAATCATTTTGGTCTACTTGACACGGATGTGATGCCTATGTTCATGATCATTGCCTTAGATGTTATCATAATTATGCGCTTTTCTATCAATTGCTCGGTAGTAATTTGTTCACCCAGCATAATACATGCTATCTTGAGTGAAGCCACTAGTGAAACCTATGGCCCCCGGGTCTCTTTTCTATTATATTACATCTCTTTTATTTACATCGCATCTCGTTTACTATTTTGCAATGTTTACTTTCCAATCTATACAACAAAAATACCAAAAATATTTACTTTACTATCTCTATTAGATCTTACTTTTGCGAGTTACCGTGAAGGGATTGACAACCCCTTTATCGCGTTGGTTGCAAGGTTCTTGATTGTTTGTGCGGGTACTAGGTGACTTGTGTGTCGTCTCCTACTGGATTGATACCTTGGTTCTCAAAACTGAGGGAAATACTTACGCTACTTTGCTGCATCACCCTTTCCTCTTGAAGGGAAATACCATGAAAGGATGGAACTGGTCCACAAAGCCGATGACTCCCGCGCATGCCTCGACTCCGAAGACTGGTTCAGGGGCTACTGAGGGAATCCTGGATTGAGGGGTCGTCGGACTGCCGGTATACCTCTCTTGGGCCGGACAGGTGGGCTGCTCTGTGATTATTATTGGAAGGCCGAGCTATAAGGCGATTTCTTGTTCAGGAAGGAGACCTGTGAAGCCTTGCTGTGTCCTCCAAGTCAAGATGGCAGAATCGACATGTTTATTCTCTGATGGCAACCGACCATGTGTAACCCTAGGTATCCTTGGTGTCTATATAAACCAGAGGGTTTAGTTCGTAGAGCTAGAAGAACCATCATCCTACTCATCTAGGGTTTAGTTCATCCGATCTCGTGGTAGATCAACTATGTAACCATCATACACACATCAATATAATCAAGCAGGACTTAGGGTTTTACCTCTTCGAGAGGGCCCGAACCTGGGTAAATAATGTCCCTGTGTTTCCCGTTCCTCATTGATCAAAGATCTACAGCTCGGGACCCCCTACATGAGATCCGCCGGTTTTGACACTGACATCGGCCGCTTAAGATCAGTCTTCGACACAAACGGGCGACGCGAAGGTGGGTTCCGAGCAAACATGCGGCCTCCTTTAGCTATTTTTAGCTATTGCTATGGAGATTATTATCATGGGATGCTCGAGCACTTGGATGATTAGAAACGACAAGATCTTCGAAGGGCAGCACCACATTTGGACACATGGAAGCACTTTCTCAGAGCGGGGCTACATGCAACACAGCTTAGGGCTAAGCAAGGAAAAGCAGAGCGGATCAACACCTTGGATAAATTAGAACTTGTAATTTAATTTTAATGTTTCCTAAAACTGGTACTGGGTTACCATTTTATTTAGACTTGCATTTGTATATATTTTATAATTAATGAATTAACGTTGAACAATTATTCTACGGTTTTGGCTCAAAAAAACATAGTAATTAGATAGAAACTGAAGGTATCATACATTTTCCGTTAGTAACGATAAGTATACCAAGCATGCTGACCAGGAAAAGTAAAATAAATTTGACAGAGGAAACAAACCCAACTGTACTACTGTAGTTGCAGAAATATGGATTCAGCGCCCAAGGTCTGCAGCTTTGTGGCCAGATTGTAAGGCCGTGGGATCGATTTGCAGCTGTGGGTTTGGGGCTGGTGGTGGATTGGTGATCTGGGCGGTGGTGTTTGCGTGTCGAACTGTCAACTAAACTAGGTTGTACGACATCAATATTTACATATTACTATGAGCATCCTAATTTTTTCTGATTAAGTAGCTCTCCGCATCCTAAATTTTGGGATGACGGCCTATATACATGTACTACTTACTACTAGTGATCTAAACGTTTTTATATTTCTTTACGGAGGAAGTAATTGAGTACTTAGACCGTGACATATCTCCGCTATTCGACCAGTACAATACATGGCAGACATACATTTCCATCATGTTCTGGAGGTGAAGCCCAATCATCGATCCCGAATAAACTCACGATTCCACGACGCAAATAACACCAAACACGCATGTGGCTGTGGGTGGGCAGTTGGAATGACGTGCGCCATCACCACTTACATATTTTGGATCCTTCCAAACACTAGCAAGCACAACTCATTTGAAAATAAAGTTGATTTGCTAAGCTACAACGTGCATGCACCATCGTGGTCATGCAGACCGGCCTTGCAGCAGAAGATACAACTGCATATCAATGAATGTGCTGTTTGCTGTTGCTCCACATGAACCTGTTCCCGGAAGAAAATCGTTCATTCATGGATATTTATACGTGCAAATGAGGTTCCGTTGTAGTCCAAACTAAAGGGAGCACTGTTGTTAATTGAGTACATGTTCAAAGCAGGGAGAGGGGGCTTGGGAGGGAAACGCAAACAAAGGGAATAAAGATAAAAGGGCAGATACAAACAACCCAACCTTATTAAAGACGTTAACTACATATAAAGCAAAGCAAGATAAAATAAAACTCACGCCAGCACCAGCTCCCTTTTACGTTGCCCCCATGTGACAGTTGCTATAAAGACGACAGTTTAGACTAGTAGTAGTAGCAGGAGAGTGGCGTTTTGGTGGCCGAGCACCGTGCAGGCCGGAATCTACGGGCGTGCAGTAGATCGCTGCGATGCGTGCGCCGCTCTTTTTGCCATATTTATACGATAGTTGCTACGTTGAAATACACCTATGCCGTGGGCTGCTGTGCCAGACTTGTACGTGGGCCTCTGGTGCGCCCTGGATAGGCATATCCTGTGCTTGCTGGTCTGGTTTAAAAATAGCCCATGTAGGTGAGGGGTGGCAGGTGCGATATTAATCCTGGGCCCAACTGGCGATGCAGGTGACTTAATGCCCGAAGCGGTGCTTCTTCCTACTCTGGTCAGTCGTTCATCCCCTTCCAGACCGTGGCTGTGCGGAGCGGCGTTTCGCCATGGATGGCCTCGAGTTCTTCTTTGAGGAAGCAGAATCAGGGTGAGTTCCAATCTCAATCCACTTTCCCTCGTTGAAATACTTTGATTTGGCGTTCAAGTTCTTCAATTAGTGCCTGATATTTCGACATTAATTCTTCTACGTGATGATGTTTGGATCTGAATAGATTAGAATTTCATATCTGCTACAGATTGGTTCCTAAAACTCATGCGGGTGATTTATTGGGTGGAGGAATCGATGTTGTGGAGTCTGTGGTTGCTTCGATCCATGAAGGTCGCGGGCGCTCCTCTGGTGTGATTTCTTCTGAGCCGATGGATGACAGCAGCGCCAAAGAGCAGTTCCGAGTGGTGGGCGCGAATCTCGGCTCACAAAACAACGGTGGGAGCGAAGTGGTTGGCGACTCGAACGACATGGCTTCTCAGGAAACTTCCCATGCGTCAATGGGAGATGAGGGAGATGCAGAGGGGGTGGTCGTCAACAAATCAAAGGCCTCGTGTTGGACTCGACGGTAAGAAACACACACTCATATGTTATTACTTTGCTCCTGGACCATAAACTGTACCTCCACGACATCGTTTTTTGCTGTAGGAGCAGAAACTGAAACTCCATGTAATTGCCTGTAACAAGAGAACACACATATACAGAGTTCAGCCCCGTGTAGAAACAAAAAATCCTTTTATTCTCATCTCTTTGAAAGCATTCTTGCTTGACCCGGAACATAATTCTTGCATTCGGTTTTGGTTAAGCTAGATGATATTCTACTGATTCTGTAACAACTGATAGACATTCTTTTATCAGGAAAATCACTGTTAGAATCGGTCTGTACAAGTAAGTAGTATATTTAACAACGTTTTTCCGCGGGGGGTGCAGTGTCAGGATTGGCAACGCGCCAGAAGAGAGGGATGCCAACCCAAGCAGAGTCCCTGCCCTCGAGGCTTCAATGAGAGCTTATGCAGACAACAAGGTTGGCACGGTTGTTAACCCGGCAATCGGAACTAGCTTTGACACGGTTGAAGAAGCGTATGAGTTTTACAACCTATATTCCTGGGAGACAGGGTTTGGCGTTCGGTATGCCAAAAGCAGGTTGAACGTCCATCGGAAAAAGTGCATGCAGGAGTTTGTATGCGCGTGTGCGGTATGATGATTCATTAATTCAGACAAGCACTAAAAAGTTTCCCCGCCACTGCTCTTTCAAATTTTTATGATCCCATAATACATCAAAAACATGTGCAGGGCAAGCCATTGCAGTCGAACAGCCGCTCGACGAGGTGTGGATGCCCTGCGTTGATGCGGGTGCTTAGATCAGATGATAAAGGGTGGTACATATGCGAACACAAAGCAGAGCACAACCATTCTGTATCGGTTAACTGTATGGAGAAGCTGCACTGGAAATCACACAGGCACATAGATAGATACACTAGAGACTTGGTGAAACAGCTAAGAGAAAACAATGTAAGCCTGAGCAAGGTTTATAGTGTGGTTGGCAGTTTTTTTGGATCTGTGAAGGAGGTGCCATTCACAAAGAGATCTCTCAAAACTCTTTGTGGAAAACTGAATAGAGAGCAGTCGGAAAATGATGCTACAAAAACAATAGAGGTGTTCAATGCCATGCGGGCTGAAGATCCTGAGTTCAAGTACAGTGTGCAAGTTGATAGTGATGGCCGAGTCAAGACTTTGATGTGGACAACAGGAAGAAGCATAGAGCAATTTAAGTGTTTTGGAGATGCTGTAACGTTTGATACGACATACAAAACAAATCTATACGACATGCCATTTGGCCTCTTTGTTGGTGTCAACAATCACTTCCAAAGCATTATATTTGGAGGGGTGCTGATGAGCGATGAGAAAATTGAAACTTTCAAGTGGATATTCACATAGTTTTTTCAGATGATAGGAGCGCCACAACCACGCACAATGCTCACAGGTGAATAAATAAATGATCTCATCTGTTTAGTGTTGTTGACCTTTCCTTTTAGGATTGGTCTGAAAACGTTTTCATCATGTAATTTGCTGACAGAGAATTGTTGTTTTTCAGACCAAGCTCGTGCAATGGAGGTTGCCATAGAAGATGTCATGCCGCATACAACACATCGGTGGTGCAAATGGCATGTGCTGAAGAAAGCAAAAGAGTGCCTTGGGCCACTCTTAGGCAAGGGCAGCGAGTTCAAACAAGAGTTCAACAAGATGGTGCACCACATTGTTAGCGAGCAAGAATTCGAGGATGGTTGGGCATGTATGGTTGAGAAACATGGTCTACAAAATAATGTATTCCTCACACAGATATATGAGACGCGGATGAAATGGGCTAAACCTTACTTCATGGATGTTTTCTGCGCCAAAATGACCAGCACGCAACGTAGCGAGAGTGCTAATCATTTGCTCAAAGGATATGTGCCACCAGGATCACCGATGCACCTTTTCGTCCGGCAATATGAGAAGATGCAATTTGACAGAGATTCAGAGGAGAGCTATCAAGAGAAGAGAACGAAACTGGTAAGAATTAAAAGTTTTGTGTGTTGTTTGTCGATGGTAAAATTATATCTACATGAACCATTTCCTGTGGTTTGAAAGCACATATCGAAAGATAATAACACATGACAGTGATATGTCTAACGCATGCAGGGGGCGTTGTGCTGGCTCAGAACCTACCTATTGAGGTACATGCATCGAAAATTTATACAAGGGCCATGTTTGAAAATTTTGGTGAGGCACTATATGAATGTGGATCATATGTTCTCATCGAAGATGTGCCTCGTCGTGAATACACAGCGAGGCATGTAAAGAAGGATTCAAGGGACAAATGGTGCAAAAATGAATTCCGCGTTCAGGTCAACGAGGATGCAGACGAATTCAAGTGTGAATGTGGAATGTTTGAACATTTTGGCATGGTGTGCAGCCATGCCCTGAAGGTGCCTTTTTCTATGGATATTGCTTAGTTGTACATACAAGACCACATGTGTGCCTAAAATAAGAGTGTAGATTTTGAGCCTGATCGTTTTCCTCTTGTTTTCAGGTAATGATACAGCTTGGTCTGCAGGAGGTCCCAGCCGGGCACATAATGAAGCGTTGGACAAGGGATGCAAGGGACATACTACCTCCAGAATTTCTGCGTTACCAAAAGGATCAGGGTCCTCTTAAGTACTCTTCGCGGCGACATAATAATCTGCATCTGATGTGCCTTGAAATTGTTAGGCTAGGTGACAGCAATGTGGATGCGTATACTCTTGCGATAGAGCAGCTACGAAATGTGAAAATGTTGCTCGAGCCGGTGGCTGCTATACGTGATGGCATGGGATTATCAGACAGAGAGCTGGCAGGTGATTTTGCAGGTTCAGCGACAGCACAGAAGCAGCATTTTGGCCCAACAAATCAGTTGCAAAGTGCCTCACAATGTTCAGATAGCTTTGCGGCGCCATCCAAGAAGAGACCAGCGGGGCGCCCCACGACTAGCCGCGACAAAGCACCGTACGAACAGCCAGCTAAGAGGAGTAGGTTCTATTCAATCTGTCGTGGCCAAGGGCACAAGAGCACAACATGTCCGCAGCGGGGTGATCTGCCAAAGGCGCCAAGGAAGTCACCTCGCTGCTCCAGATGCAGCCTGACAGGCCACAGAAGGAACACCTGCACCAACACGCCCAAGGCAGATTTCTATGGTTGAATTTATCTTTTTTCTTTGCTTGAAGTATGACAGTTTCGTGTAACAGGGCTTTGAGAGGATGTCATACTATTAGTGACCACTCGGCGTATTACTGAACCTATGTAGAGACCATCATGTCTTTGGTAGCGTTTTCTGTGAGGATAATTATTTGGTGATGATGTGTTTGTCAATGTGGATGCACTCTTCATTCTGCGATTTGCATTGCGTCAGTTGCCAAACTGCGGTGCTTCGATTTGATGCACCTCTTGTATGAAGAAAAAGTGTAGTATTTTTTTTGTGTCAAAAATAAAATAATTTGTGATGATTTTCTGATTCAGGGCAAATAGTGTACACAGAGAGAATCATTAGAAGACAAGCAATGTGTAGTTGACTGTTTCAGCCAGAAAAATATTCGTAAAAAAAAGAATTAGCATAACTGCAAGAATTAAAATGCGTTGAAGGCGGATAATTTCGTAAATTTGATAAAATGGTAAAGTAAGACGATGCGTGGGCTATCATGGGTTTGAGCATTTTCAGTGGGCTACGCAGAGTGCGCGTGAACCAGGAGTGTAGCTGGGCTTGGGTTTGTGTTCGCCTTCCACTCGAATAGGACGCCTGCTTGGTGCACTGAAAGTAAGGAAAAAAACAAATGGGTTGAACAAGAAAAAAAGGGGGAGAATATTTACTGAGGTAGCCCACGTGGACATCTGCTGGTGGTGATGGACGTGCGATTGCAAACAGTGCGGGCTGCGCTGTCATAGAGGTTATTTCATTTGCGCCAGTGAAATATGTTTTGTCTCATACTAAAAAAGGAGAGCACCTGTCCCCTGCGATCGGGCATCATTTACTGCAGTGCTTGTTGCGAGGGCGAGGATGGACTAGCTGCATTGTTGGATCGCGGTCAGGTGAGTACAAGTCAAAAAATTCTTTGCGAATACAAAAATGAATCCTCCCTCACTATTTCGTGAACCGTTTAGCACCGCGGGGGAAACCAAAAAAATGGATAAAATTCACAATGAGGACATGGTGTTCCTATGGGAGCGTCGAAACAAAATCATATATGCACTTGGAAATATAGGTGGGCTGAACAGAAATATGGTCGGCTCATCAAAAAAAGTGTCGGCGCATCGAACTGTGGTACAAGGAGGGTAATTGTTCGTCCGTTATTATAAAGTACATAATTCGGTTAACCCACCGTAAATTGTGTGCTAGCGATAGGCCTTCCACGGTATGTGATGATTCCAACTTACTTGGTTTAACGACCATGACTAGCCAGATGCCTTCTGGATGATATAACATACTGCTCTAGTGTGATCAGATGCCTCTGATAGTTCTTCTTCCATATATGTTGTCGATGTATATAATGGGCGAGATTCTGAAAGAATATAGGTCTGATGGATCAGACACTCCCCCCGATGTGGACATCACGGGCAAACTTTTGGAGATCATCTAACACAAAATCGTATCTCCGCTTGAAAATAAAGGTGGATTAAACAGAAATATTGTCGGCTCATCAAGAACAAAAATCATGCCGGCACCTAGAACTGTGGTACAAGGATGGTAAGTGATTGTCTGAGATCATAAAGTATGGAATTCGGAAAAACCACCGTAAATGATGATTCCAAGTTACTTGGTTTAACGACCATGACTAGCCAGATGCCTTCTGGATGATATAACATACTGCTCTCGTGTGATCAGATGCCTCTGATAGTTCTTCTTCCATATATGTTGTCGATGTATATAATGGGCGAGATTCTAAAAAAATATAGGTCTAATGGATCAGACACTCCCCCCGATGTGGACATCACGGGCAAACTTTTGGAGATCATCTAACACAAAATCGCATCTCCGCTTGAAAATAAAGGTGGATTAAACAGAAATATGGTCGGCTCAGCTAGAACAAAAATCATGCCGGCACCTAGAACTGTGGTACAAGGAGGGTAAGTGTTCGTCTGAGATCATAAAGTACGGAATTCGGAAAAACCACCGTAAATGATGATTCCAAGTTTCTTGGTTTAACGACCATGACTAGCCAGATGCCTTCTGGATGATATAACATGCTCCTCTTCGTGTGATCAGATGCCTCTGATAGTTCTTCTTC